TTAACATTTCCTTGAGGGAAACCTCTGTCTACTAAGAATGTATTCCATTTTAAATTTCCTAAGCCATGGCAGTGTGAATTTTTATATACATATATATGTGTGTGTGTGTGTGTGTGTGTGTGTGTGTGTGTGTGTGTGTGCGCGTGCGTGTTTTAAATTAGGGAATAAGAGTAAATCATGTTGGCTATTTCCTAAGATACTCCCAATTTAAAAAAAGGTCTATTGTTGCCATGCAATAATTTTCTTGGGATTTGTTAATACCTTTATTGAAGTCTTCTGAGCTTTTTATTTTCCTTTGTTTAATTCCCACACCGTGAAGTACCTACTACCAACATGAATTTTGACACTGCTACATTTCTTATCACCAAGAGTATGAGTTATCTTCAAGAGAACATTTATACCTTGCTTTACTCCACTCATTTTGTCAAGGTCATATTTAGATTTTGTTAGATTATTGCATATTACATCTTACCTTACATGATAAACAAGGAAATCTTAGCCCCTCTGTCCTCTCCTTCTACTTCTCATTTCACTTCTTCAGAATGTAGTTTTATCAACTAAAAATAATAAAAAAATATTCGTTAAAACAAGTGTGCATTGATGGCTCTTTTGTATGCATGGACGTTTTTTTAACCTCTAAAGGAGTGAAAAATACTGAAAATGCAAACATGGAAAGTATTTCTACATATTTCTTTATTATATAGCTCTGATCTTATTACTCTTTCCAGGTTTTATTCCTATAAAATTAATTGTGTTATTATATTTTCTCAGGATAACTTTGCTTGTAACAAAATTTGAATTTGTGAAGTATCTCTCTTATATTTTTATGTTCCTCTGAAAGTTGACAATTTCCCCCTTGCAGATATATTCTGGAAGGTGTTTTTGTTATAGATCTTAAGAACAAAAATCACAATGCTGATAAACACATATACTCTTACATGGAGTTTTTCTTCTAGTTTAGTTCTTGTCTCCCCAAATCATGGTAATCAAAATTATGACCTTGAACTCTTTGTCTACCTGCTCTCTTATTCCTGTGCCTACACTCTCTTCTTGTTTGTATTTATAGTAAAATGGTTGAATAAATCTCATAGCTTATTAGTGGATGGACTGTATTTTTTTTTCAGGTGACATTATAGAAGAATTAACCTTTACTAAAAGTTGAACACTAAATGCTATTGTGAGAGTGTTATGCTTATTTGTCTTAATAACAAATTCCTAGGTCCCTCTTCTCAGCACATGACGGGGTTGCAGGTTAACTTCCTTTAAAGTAGGCATGGCCATTGACAGCTTTGGCCTATGAATGATGGACAGAGGGATGAGTGTCACTTCCTGCAGACGCTGTAAGTACCTGCATGTAGCTCTCCATTTCCTGTTTCCTTGCCTCAGTGGAGTTGAAAGCATTTTTGGAGATTGATCCTCCAGATCCTGGGTCCTTGAGTAACTATGTGGAACACAGCTTCCCCACTAATCCTCACTGGACATGTAGGGTATGAAATACCATTTTGTTTTTAATACTCTGTGTTTTTTAGGAGTTGTTTGTTATGACAGCATATCCTATCCTTCCCTGTCTGACAGAGAGCACCTGTACAATTTTGGCAGACTGTAGAAGACTTGTCATTTTTCTAATCTCTAGGGAGCTGCAGTGTCAATCACAGGAGATGCCATCTCATTTGGAACATCCTAACATTTCAAAGGAAGAAGCTTTATACTTTTATATATGTTATGGATAACACATCGTCTAGTCTGAGTATAGCAGTGCTCAGATTAGATGGCAGTCTCCATGGAATATTTTTGATTTCTGGAATTTTATATATAATAATCCCTTCCCAATTTTAAATATATCTTCCCTTCTTTACCTTAAGGATTCATTACCTTCCAAATGCAAATGCTTTGGGGAGGGAGAATATTTTATGTCTCATCAGTCATTTATACCTTAGTGAATAAAATGTGTAATGAATTAATTATAGACTTTTATAAAAATAGTTTTAGATAGTGGCAACGTGGGGAGATGATACGGCATCATGGCACCTGTCTGGCAAAAGGGGAAAAAGACAGATGTAGCGATTGCATGGTTAAGACAAATTTTGCCTGCTTCATAATTTTCAGAAGGGATGGCTCTTCGTGTAATACTACAGTATATGCTACGATTACACACAAGCTCTTGGCATCATAGAAGAATTAAATCACATTAATGCCTTAAAGGTTTCTAGAGATTCTTTGTTCAAAAGTGAGTTGTTGGGGGCAAACTTAACGAAAGTCATTTGATTCCCTAGATTGAATGTACCCATTTCTCACAGAGCAATGATAAGTCCATGCACTGTTGCTGATATGGATGGATTGATGAGCTGATGTTTCTGAAGTTCATTGAGGTAGATAAAGAGCATTTTGGAAGTTAAAAAACACTACTATTGCAGCTGCAGAGTGATGTGCATGTTTTCCGTGTGTTCCACAGCCCTCATGCCGGATGTGCTCTTGTTAAGGATGTTTTTTGATAGAATAAAACTTAAGTGCAGATTTAAAAGATATTATTAAAATTTACAAATATGCTCGTTAATGTGCTAGTGAAATAGTAGAAGTCCAGATAAGTTTCAATGTTAGTATTTTAGTGGGATGAACTCCTGTATGGTGGTGGTCTGGAGTTCTTAAATGATACTGGAATTCAAGGTCAGATTTGACTTTTAGGGCTTATCTTAAAGTACTATTCAGGCAAAGTCTGGAGTCATCATGTAAAAACAGAGAACATTCACTTTCTAACTTCTGCACTTCCCCAAACTAGTGATGAAATCAGACTTTTGAATAGCCAGTATCAATTATTTGATAAATGCCTTTATTATAATATTAACTTCTCTAAAAGTACAACTCATTTTTCTGAGTGACATATAAATTTCAGTTCTATATACTTACATCTGATTTACTTGCTTGTTTTCTATGGTAATATTGATCTTGGAATTTCTTTCCAAACTTCTTAGGAGAGATATATTGTTTCCTTTGATTTATTTGATTCCTTTTTAAGAAAAGCTGGGTTTCTTTGGTGTTGAACAAACTGGACATTTTTTGAAAATTAATGATTGTGTTTAGCTCGGCTAATGCTGGTAAGGATACAGGAGTTCTCGTTGGCATAAAAACCCTCGTGGGAACATGTGTGTGTAAAATCAATTGCGATTAATGGATTTGTAACAATAATCTTTGATTTTTTTGAGACTGCTATGAAGGCAATCCGAATAACAACAAATACATTGTTTTTCTTTTTTGAAGGGCTGATATTCTGTTTTCTCGTCTGCTTTTTTCTTACTTGTAGAACTACTTTTTGGGTCCGCTTCCAAAAGTATGTTAGCTGCCACTTGGCAAGCATCAATATTTTCCTGTTTGATCTGTTAATACTTTTTAACTTAAACTTTATTTAACTAGACATTACCTATTATTGATTGATCACCTTAGTGTCCCCAAATGTGTTCGACTTTAGAAACCAAACAAGCTCTACTTCCATGGCATTTCTCATTTCGATATTCTATTTCCTCCCAAAATCAGGTGTAAGAAAATAATCCTTTTATTCCCTATATCATTTTTGTTCATTATTTCATATATTACCCCATTAGATTACTGTTTTTCTGTCTTTAACTAACTTAAACCAGGGATAATTTACCTTCCAAAATCTATTAGATTTTAATCTCCTTGAGGGTATTGATCATAACGGTTTGTCTTTGTATTCCAGTTCCTGATCCATGGTAGACAGATATTCAATAGGAGCTTATGAATGAATGAATGAATGAATGAATGAATGAATGAATATGGTGTTAGTTTTGATGGAGGGGTTAATATGAAGAACGTTACAGCTCAGTATTTAATATATACTGTCTACTGTGTGACAGGATCAATTCTAAGTACTTGGGAGGAGATGCTGCTTGTGTTGTGTCTGTACTTCCATGTCCCCGTCACCATTTCAGGGAATGAGAGCTTGTCTTCCAATCGCCTGCAGCGGAAGCTTTGTCAGAGGGCTGCCCTCAGCATGACAGAATCCACTGCTAATGTGTAACTTGGGCAGGAAGCATGATGTTTTCAAACAGAAAGGCAAGAGAAATGTGGACGTAACCTTTGCATGAAACTTCAGTAATTAACATGGACACTTTGCTTCATATATATATTGTTTTTAAATATAGGTAAAATAAGCAAATGGTGTAACTGTTATAGAATGAATGCTAATTTTCACAACACAAATTATAGTATAAAAACAAAGTTGTATCTTTAGATTTTTTAAGTTCATGCAGATAACTAATATATAAAATGAGACCCCTTTAGAAGTTTCATTTTTAAAGGCAGTAAATGAATAAATAGTGCTCATGTCCCTTAAAAATACAGATCAAAGTGGTTATGAAAAACAATAAAAATTAGAAATCCTATAAGCTGAATTGAATATCTTCCATCTACATAGGAAGATAAAATATTCTTGGACAAGATAAATATTGTTCTGGAGTCACATTGAGAACAAAATTAGAGGTAAGGAAAATGTGATTACATGAAATACGGGGAATTGGATGGCCGTAGATAAAAATTCAAAATCTGATAATACTCTTAAACAAAACTGCAGTTCTTAAAAACTGAAAATTGGTGCATGTCAGTTTGTTGAGGAAATGTTAACTGCGAGACTTAACATGCTGCAATAAATGCGGGATCTTAGTCCATTTTGATAACAACCATTTACTGCTTGTGTATATTCTGGGAAGAAATGTTAATTACGGGGCAATAATGGGATAAATGAGATCTTTTACTATGCTGGAGCTGTTTTGTTGGAGTGCTGTTTCTCAAATTGGTAGCATATTTCAGATAAAGAAAGGAAGTTCCCTTGCTTGAAACTGCTGTGTCATTTCTTCTTCCTTAACTGAAATTCCAACCAAGTTTCAGGAAATGCCCTAATGAGCCACTTCTCTTTTCTCTCCTCAACTAAGAGGATTCCAACCAGCCCAAATTATTCATGATCTGAGCGTGTGCTTTGGTTGTCTCTTTTGGCATGGTGCTTATATTATGGGAAGAGGGAATAAAATTTGGTGCTGTTTGTAGAGGTGATAACACTGATAGAATCCAGTCCTTACTGGTAGGTAACTAAACTGGCAGGTTAATTTTCTATACTTTAAGCAAACTCTGAAGATGAGTCTAATCAATACCTATTTTACTTTGATATGTGTGGCTTGCTTATAATTACGGTTTCATTTTGCATGATCACTAGGTATCAAGATATTAGTGTAGTTAAGATGTGATTTGCTATAATTTTGGTAAAATATATCTGAAACTCTATTAATGTCTTATTTTAATCAAGATGGAGAAATCACTGTTTTAGTTCATGATAACTGAAACAATTTCTTCTTCCAGTTTAATATTCTTAGATATTTACTAAATTGGAGCATGATTTAACATTTTATTGCATCTTATGTGTTGTTTTTTGAGCAAGTGTTAATTTCTGTTTATATTGTAGCAATGTATATTTCATTGGCTTTTAAATGTAGGAAAATATGAGTACTGTTCATAGCAGAAGTAATACCAGATAGTACTTTATTTAGCTTATGTTATTTTTCCAGGGTTAAACATTTTTCTGTTTTTGTTTTTTTTTAATTAAGATTTGGATGCAGAAAGTTTGTGTAGGAGATGTCAGGTATCCCAAAGCAGTAATATTTTATAGTAATAGTTTTCAATAGTAGTAATTAGAGTTGGAGTAGGGAGTTGAAGATTACGTATGTATCTGTACATCTATGCACACATATATGTGCATATTATATGTATATATGTATTTATTTATTTACATGGATTATAATCTCATACTCTCAATGCTGTCTTAAAATGTTTTATTGAAATAGACAAAATAGACATTTTGAAAAAGAATAAGCCTGAGGTAATCTTTAACTCATTTCATGAAATTTATTAGTAACTTATTTACTAAAACCTTCATTTAACATTAAGAGACTTTAAAATAACTTTCACAATTCTTCCCTGTTCAGAGATTGTGTCAACAAAGCAAAATGAAACAATGTAGAGTTCATTATCAAGATTATTCAGACAATTCTGCTCCACTTCTATTTTAGATGAATCTAAGGATAGCTTCATACTTTTGAGTACCTTTTGACTTAATACTAAATCTTTTACTTTCTTGGTAGAAGCTATCTTAAAGAAGCTAAATTTTGTGATCTCTGTTTGCAGACTTAAAATAATCTTTTTAAAAGCGATAAGACAAATTATATATAATTTTCATGTTGTCTGTTTCTTTGGTTTTAATTACTATATTTTAAATTTTCTGTTTCAACCTAAAGCAGTAGAGTAGTTCAATGTATGAGTAAATTTTATTGAACTGAAACTTGGAGCTGACGTGAAAAATGAAACAAGCTGAAAAATGTTTCTTAAAAATCAGCTTAATTTTAATTTTAATGTGGCACAATGGTTTCTTATAAGTTCTAGATAGCCAAAATAATTATGAGACATTTAAATATTATGCAATTTTCTAGCATAAGTGAAATATTCAGAAATTGTGGTAATTAACACAGTGGAAGTAGAAAATAATTTTGAAAACAGTGGTTTGAACAGTTAGAAAGGAGAAATAAGGAAAGGAGAAACTAAAAAAATATTCCAACACAATGGTTTCAAATGAACTAATGAAATTTGATTCAAAGGGAATAATGATGGATATGGATAAAATAATAACCATGTTAACCATGTGGATATGCAATCATTCAATTTAAATCAATGTACAAATAAAATAATCTGATATCAGCTAGACATGCCAGACTGTTCCCAGAGGTAAATTTAATGAATTCTTATTGTAAAAACTATTAGATTAGGCAAGGGAGTGATAGCAGGTCCAGAAAGGTAATGTTTACAGATAGCAGATTGCAAATTTTATACTATTTGGCAAACAAAACAAATGTATAGTGCAAACTACAGTTCCTGTGCAGTTTTACAGATTATGTTTACCTAGAAAGAAGAGTCGGTGAGGCATAGAAGAGAATGCATGAGGAGAGGAGGAAGAATCACAGGTATCCTCAGAAACACCCTAGGAGGGGAGAGCTTAACAGGAGTCTTGAAGAAAAAAACGACTAACAAGAAACTAAGGTATAGAAATAGTCTTTATTTTATAGAGTTGTGAAGTCCCAGCTTGTTAAGGGATCTGTGAGTTGGGTGCAGGTGTTGGGAGTTGTATTAACATTTGGTAGATGTTTCTTTACCTATGAGAGCTTAGAGGTTGATAGGTAATTTTGTGATTCTGTTAAATCATATTTATTGGAGCTGAGACAGTCGCCTTGGCCACGTACTCATGAACAAAACAAAAAGGTGGTATGAGAATGTATTACAGTTAGTTTATGTTAAACATTAGGAAAATTGAGGAGATGGAAAAGTGACATAGTAAGCTAGGCTGTGAAATTTCCTCAGGTCACCCATTTTAAGAAGAGATTACTTAAGGAGAGAAAGCCCTTGTTCCCAGTTTTGTAATTGCTCTCAGGATGCAGCTTGAGCCTAATGATCGTCAAGACCCAGTCGATTGCAGTTTTTCTTTCTCTCTCTTCAGGTTTGAAAGAGTAGGTGAGAATTCAAAAGTAGAACTAAAAACGGCAATTGAAGGGAATGGGCCTAGGAAACAGAGCTTGGGTTTTAATAAGAATTCCCCTGCCTCCTTATATTCATTCCTAAGAGTTAACCATGGAAGAGCGTTTCCAGACCACCGTTTCCTTTCCTGGAACTGCCTCAGCCTGTGTGCTAGAACAGGCTGTGATCACGTTCTAGCTCCCTCCACTGAGTCAGGGAATCCCTTGGTCCCCTGCTTTGTTCCTTTCTTTATTTCTTATTGTGTGAACATGTTTCCAATACAGAAGTTCATATGCACGTGAACAAAGTTCTAAAAGACATTCAGCATCCTTAGCTGTATTTCCATCCAGGTAAGAATTTGAGCTAGAACTTTCTGTCTGTTCAGATATTGTCCTATGTCCTTTAATCCCCTTTTGTAAAACTCATTCTCTCAAACATCTCTCCCCACTCCCCCCAAATCTAGACCAGTCCCTACTGTCCTGGAAATCTCAGCTAGTGTCTGTAGGAAATTTCTCAGCAGCTAAGATATTTACAACCTATTCCCGTTGATCCTGAGCAAATTCAGATGGATTTGAACCTACCAAACCATCTGAGGTCTGCAACAGTTTTGTAAGCAGCATTTTTTTTACCATCAGACTAAGTTCTGGTAAACTTTTAATGTTTCTCTCCATTTGGTCAAACATTTTTCCTCTTCTGTAGCTTATATTGTCCTTCACATGTGCCAGGCACTTTTCACATGCTGGATGATTTACTCTTTCCATCATAATTCTACTTGCCATTAAACATTTTCCATTAAACATACTTAAACATACTTAACATTAAACATACTTAAACATAAGTATATTCAACCTTTACATTCACTCTGCTCTCAAAAATTTAAAACATCTATTGTTTTTTATTGGAAACAACCTTTTTTTTTTCTTATTAGCCTTTGAACACTATTGTGACATGTGGGGTTATAGTGCTTGGAAAACTCTGAGCATATCTACTCAAGTGTAGAGACAAACTAGGAGGCAAATCTGTCCAGTGAGGTGACCAATGACACTGCCTTCTGGAGAAGGTAGAAAATCTGTGATTTTGCCTTGATCAGTAACTTAGTTAATATTTATGTAAGTTTGGTCAAGTTGAAGGTGTGTAAGTAGAGGACTGTACCAGGTACTAGGTTTTGAGGATAAGCTGTATAAGCTATGTTACTTGCCAATGAGCAGTTGAGGCATTTCAACAAGTAATCACACTAAAACGTGTTATAATAAAAGTATACAGAAGGTGCCAAAAATGTATACACATTTTAAGAAAGGAAAACTGTATTAAAATTGTAGTACTCAATATATACTGATAACAAAAGATGAATACAAGTCACATTTGACTTCTGCAATTACAAGAGGTACTCATAGTGGCTACCATCAGCCTAATTTTAGTAGTGTTTTCCTTTCTTAAAATATGTATACATCTTTGTGGCACCCTCTGTGTATGAATTTGCTGTGAGTCTGGGGTTTTACAAAGGGTTTGAAGAGATGATGGTTGAAGTATATCTTGAAAAATAATTAGCTATTCTCTGGGCAGGCAAAGGGTAAGAGAGAGGCATCGGACTATAAACTAGCACGTGCAGAGCTGTGAGAAGCAGGCCATATTCAGGGGTCTTTATTGGACCGTGGCATCCTTGTGGTGGATCATGTAAACTGAGGCTGGAGAAGTAAGGTGGGGTTTGACCCTAAGAGCTATGCTTTAAGTGTTGTGAGATTTTAATGAGGGGAGTAGTTGGGTCTGACTGTTTTATCCGGATATCTCTGGCCATTCGGGACACGTATTGGAGGGGTGAAAGAACACAATCATTGGTTTTAGATTTAGTTTATAGAGTGCTCCTGTATCTGCTTAGAGAGACCAGGGCAAGCATGCATCTCTGGGTAATACTTTGCAGAGTGGTTGCAGTTCTGGCAGGAATCGAAGACAAGGATTTTGCTAAAAACATGATATAACCTGCTTCATACGAAAATCAAAGGTGGTGGACTGTGTCGTTTTTACTGTAGAAATAACTACTTAAACTGAACATGGATTAGCTCCCAGACCAGTAGACGAAGCAAATATTTGCAGGTGATTCAGTGATTTCTTTGTGGTCACTTGGCTTAGTGCTGATGGAACACGCTGTGAAATAGGAAGTCAGTTCAGCATTTTTAGCCTGCTACTAACTTGCCATGTGACTTTGAATAAGTCTCCTTTCTCTCTCTCTCTCTCTCTCTCTCTCTCTCTCTCTCTCTCTCTTTCTCTCTGTCTCATGTGTGTTCGCTGAATACTTTAAATTGCGGTGAGGGGTCTGGTGGTGTTAAAGTTAGGGCTTCTGTGCCTGAAGAACACTTCTGAATTTATTCCTGGGATATCAAACTTACATTGGATGTGGGCGCCCTAAGATTGCAAAGCCAGATCAGAGCCCAAAGGTAGGACCTCTCTCCTTCTTATGGGATCCGTGATCTCACATTTTGGACAGATTTTCAGAGCATGAAACAAACCATTGGCTACTGTTTCACTATTGGACCTCCCCAACCCCAACATTCTCCTCTGAAAACAGCCTCAGAGGACTCTGCCTTAAGACAGAGCTCTCAGAGCAAAATTGAATATAGAATGAAGCAATTCTTTGTATAATTTGGGAAGCAACATTTAATTTGCCATTCCTTCATAGGTCCTGTCTACTTTTCCATATTTTCTAAAAATGTATTGCCAATAAATTTGCATTTCTATTTGTTTCAACATAAAACACTGGTTGTAGTAAGTTGTATCTAAATTCACTTACATTGAGTCCTACTGAACACACCCAGTGAAATGCATGATACAATTCTTGATCCGTTGCTTAAAACATATTTGTCTAAAGACAAAACAAACAACAAAACAGCAAGCAAAAATATTCCAGAATATTCTAGAAGGAAAGAATTTATCAAATAAATGCATAAGCTAAAATATTAAGTCCTCTACTGGGGGATAAATGAGAGTCATGAAATATTATAATAACTAGTCTGCTTGAGGAGAAGTCATCTTAGAAGCGTTTTAGTGAGTATCGGTATCAGCTATATTACACAAAGTGTTCTTTTTTCTTGTCTTTTCTTCATCAGTTGATAATAGCTAACAATGATTGGGCTCTCATCAGGCACTAAAAGGCTTTGCATGTCTCACCTCATTTGAGCCTGACAATACCCTTGAGGGAGGTGCTGCTCTCTTCAGAAGAGAAAAGTAAGGTTTTTGAAGGATGGGTTCCTTTCCCAAGGTGACCAGTGAGTTGGGATACAGTGGGGCCTTGGATCTAGGTCTGTATGGTGCTCAGACACAGGTAAATCATACCATCTTTTTTTGACCACTTTTAAAGGTAAATTTTATTTTTGTTGTTCTGTTTCGTTCATTTTGAGCAAGTAACCCTCTTTATAACAGAGAAGGGGAAACCATGTTAAGGACAAGGTTTGGGGCGACTCAGAAAGCTCGGCGGTACTAAAAATGGTTCCTAGGCTATTATTACATGGGGATAACAAGGCCTTTGCCTGTATTAGGTTTGCTAAAATAGCAGTTGCAGAGGTAACAAGGGACCAGAATAGATGGCTCTATTTCATAAAATAAAGGGGCAAAGTGAAGAGGCTCATTAATGTTGAAGCAGTAAATGGATAACCGGTGACAAATATCAAGTAGATTTGCTTCAGTTTGGTCAAAGAAAGGTCATTGATTATTTTTGGTTAAACTGGTTCACAGAGGCCAGGTCTCCACTAAAAAAGGGAATTAATTGCTCCCATTCCCCACTAATTGCCTCAACATTTCCCTTTGCTTTGTCATTGGAGATTTGGTCAGAGAGGCAAAAAGTCAAAAGTCAGAGTTTGATGGAATCTACATAAAAAGGGAATCTGAGGAGACCAAATTATGGCATTTGGTGTAATAATGATAATGATATTTAGCATTTTTCCCTGGGAGTGCTGTGGATTTTTAGAGACCTTTTCAATCTTTAATCAGACCGTAGGGCACATTTAAGGGAGTTCACTGTTTTTATTTCCACCTAGAGGATAAGGCATCACAGAGCGATGCAGTGACCTAAGGCAGGTCTCCTGAGATGTTAATCCTGTGTGTTGGATTATACCCTCTTATGCAGAGTTTTAGCTGGAAGCTTGGGCTCTTCCCAGAGGTATAATTCATTCATCCTTCTTAGGAGTCTTTAGGCTTCCTGCACATTACCATCTGAGATTACTACTTTTATCAATGACAGAAAAATCAACCAAGAAAACAGCATGAAAGGTTTTGATGTCACAACAGTTGCTTAGTTTGTAGTTTATTAATTGATGCCCCAGCCATCTTCAGTTAATAAGGCATTCTAATTTGTATTTGCTGAATTAACCAGTCTTTGAAATCCTTTGGAATATGTGAGTTTTATATTTCAGGCATTTTTGTTTTATTTTTATTTTTGGACCCCAAAGTGGAAAGGACATGGGCTCTGGATATGATAGGTGAGTGTTCAATGATTTTGGCTTCTCTGGTTTACTTGTAATACCTTCAGAGGCCCAAGA